CTGGATCTATTTATCTGAAAAAAAAAAACTTGATTAATACTTTGAGCAAGTCCTGGCTATGATTACAATGTGTATTATATGTTCATCTCAGAGTGCTAGTAGATTTTAGATTTTATAAGTAAAATATCATTTTATTACATAAGAAAATGGTCTTTATTGGTCTCATTTTGTAAAACTGTGGTGTCACTTCAAAGGAAAAAATAAAAATTTGTACAAAAGTGGCTTGAAAAAAAACTTTTGCCTGAAACATTCTTTCTGGTAACTAGGTTTATGACAGAGTCATCTGCAAGAGGAATTTGGTTTTGTAAATTTGGTTTTGTGGCCTTTAAAAATGCCATACAGTGATGAAATAGGAAGGGAATAGAGGAATTAAAGTGGACGTGTGATCAGTAGGAGTTATTTGTTTCCCACTGATACTTTCAAATTAACACTAAATTTGGTATCTCATACCAATACACATATCTCATTTTAATTCTGCTAGTCAGAAGTCACTACGGCTTGCTAGCCTTGCAACAGGCATCAATGTGTGATATTTACTTATAAAACTCAGGAGACATCTACTTCCTTGCTCTTCAGGTGTCTTGAGAACACCAGGCATTCCTGGTTTTGGGGTCTTTCTCCTTATCCCAGAGAAGCATCATTGCACCTCTCTGGCCATTTTTCCATCACCTTTCTGTGTGGCTGTTATTCTGACTCTTTTTCCCCTTTACAAGTTACCCCTGTGCATAATTCAGGATCATTTCCTTATCTAAAATAAGCAGATTTGCGACCTTAATCCCATCTGCAAACCTAATTTTGCTTCATGTAGACTAAAATAATCGCATTTCTTGGTTATTTGAGATTTATCTTCTTGGAGGAGGTATTGTAATTCTGTCTTGCAACACATTTTCTTTGGAGAAACAGTCTAAATTATTAATGAATACAAAAAATGAATAGAGGAATAAATCATGTATAAAGGCTTTAATGATGGGACTGGAGAAAAGGGATGTAACTGTTGTTTTTCAGTCAAGTAAAGTATGGAGAGACTATAGATAAGCAGAAAATGATGCAATAGAGTGCTGTGACTCTTCCAGAATGGCACTCTCAAGAAAACCTTTTACAAAACCCTCTTAAAACTACTGGAATGCCATCTCCCCAAATTTGCAGCTATGGTTATTGGCATGATTTACATGTTTTAATATTTGAAGAACACAGTACAAAGGAAAGGTATTCAATTGATGTTGGGCAATTTTCAGAGAAAAAAAATGTACATTTTGGAAGCTATCTTTTAGAGAAAACAATTCTTCAAGAACTTTTCTAGAACAGCATTTGACTTTAGTCCCCATTGAAAGCTAAACTAATGTAAGGATCCTTCTAACTCAAGTGGCATCACAATTTTAGTATTGTTAGCTATTAATAAGGTAAAATCCTGTGGTTTTTTTTTTTAATGTATCAGCAGCAGACAATAAGAGACAAACCCGGAGTCAATTCTCTACCCTGAGATGCAAAAGACAGTGATCTTGGCAGCAGTTAACAAAATTAAATTCAAAAATTACACCTCATATTTCCAGTTTTAGCTCCCTTGTTATAAATGTGAATGTCATCAATGGCTATTATTGATATCAAGAAAGACAAATTGAAATTGTATTGATTTTCTTAGTTCCATCAAAAAATTGAGAACTCATGCAAAGTTCCACTAAAATTTCTGAGAAGCAGACTCATCCAGGAGGTGAATCAAATCCACCTATTTGAAGTAGAAACTCTTAGTCACAAAAGGACTGGGAGACTTAGACACCAATTTTAATACATTATTAGAGTATAAGTATGCAAGGGTTGAGTGTGAGAAACTCTTTGGGGCTAAAGTCTCCTGCAAAACACCGCATCTTCACTGAATTTAGCTCTGCCCATCAGGTCTGTAATGAATATATGAGGGGAGGGCTCACAAAGCAGAGGGTGGAACAAAATAATAAGTCAGGGAACAATGCAGAACTTTCTTCATTACAAAAACTTGTTTTTGGACTCACTAACTGAGACTTGTCCTCCAAAATGGAAAACTTGTTTCTCTCATTCCTTTATATTTTCAGAGTTCACTAAACAGAACTCTTTTCTAAAGTGTTGAAATTATAGCTCAAAATCTTGCAACAGTCTCAGGAAGAAAAAAAAATCTATTCATTAGAGATGTGTGAAATCACTGTTATCTAAAACAGCATCAAATATTAACAAAAGAGAAAATGCTTGAAATCAGAAAAATTTTCTGTCTTTATAGGATTTTGGAATGATGTAAGCCCTGTTTCTATCCGTGTGTGTGTGTGTGTGTGTGTGTGTGTGTGTGTGTGTGTGTAAACTCATAGAGTTTTTGTTTTCTTTAAATACAGACATCTGATGCATTACTGAATTTCAGCATAAAGCAATAACAAAACATGCCAAGAGTTTAAAAAATTTTCAGACATAAAGAGACAATGCAAATACAAGACTCAAAATCAGATATATCAATGAAATATGTTAGAATACCAGAGAGGGTAAAACAGCTATAATTACTATGTCAAGAGCTCTAAAAATCTAAAGATGTTAGTAATCATACAATCTAACCAATCAATCTCAGGAATTTTAAATAAGAGGGAAAAGAATGTAAGGCAGATGAAAAATGCACTCAATGAAATAGAAATTCTAAAGATTCAAATATGCTAGACATTAAAAATAATATAGAAATATTTTCTGTGGGCTCATCAGCATTTGTGAAGAGGAATCATAAGTAATACAAATTACAAATTCCCAGCTGAAGCATAGAGAGAAATATGATATTAAAATCCCTTAAAATGCATGCAATGTATCCAAATATATAGTATGACAAGAGAAAATGGTGCCAGAGATGCTCTTGAAATATTACATCACACTGGATATCCTTCAAAATCAGCGATATAGCCAGGTGACAGTGGCACATGCCTTTAATCCCAGCACTCAATAGGCAGAGCCAGGGGGATGTCTGTCAGTTCTAGGCCAGCCTGGTCTACAGCACAAGATCCAGGACAGGCACCAAAACTACACAGTGAATCTCAGCCACGGAAAACAAAAACAAAACTAAAAGCAGTGATATTAATCAAAATACAGATCTAGGATTCTTGAACACAAGTTGTTCAAACTGACTTTTCTGTCCCTCCAGTATTGGTGACCAGAAGATTTTATTTTATTTTATTAGTTTTTTTAAATATTATATGTACATAATAATATATAGAGAGATCAAAATGCATATTTGGGGCATATCTTACATATCTAGTCAGAAGGTAATTAATGATACTTAAAAGTTCAAATGTTATTCATTTCTTTTATGTTTGGGTGTATGTAGGGAAGATGGAATGTGCAGGTGCCATGATTCATATGTGACCTTCAGATGACATCCTGCAGCCATTTTCCTCTCACTATGTGGCTTCTGGGACTTAAACACTGCTTGTCAGACTTGACAGCAAGTACTTAGGCCTACTCAGCTACCTTACAAGCAAAATATTTAACAACATTTTTAATATATTTTCATAAAACAAAGTTGAATGCATTAATTGGATCAAAAAAGAACCAAAGTGTTCAATATTTAGTCACTCAGGTAGATAATCTTTGGTTGTTCAGAGTCTCCATTATTACTGACTTCAATTTATATACTCTTGTTAGGCAAGCCTTTCATTTTATTATTAAATATTTATTACTACATGTGAAATATGTGAAATAATAATATCAAATAATAATTTGACTTCACTTATCATTTTGAGAATGGAAGCATGATATGTTCAGGTAGTAACCTCAAAGTAGTGTGACTGGGAATCAGCGACAATACTTGGAATCTTTGCTTCTAGTTACTCCCAAGGCTGAGGCAGGAGAATCTCTCAAACCTGGTGGTTAAGAACAGTTAAAGCAACACAGTGGATCCCTATTTTAGAAACCAAACACAAATTAAAACAAAATAGTAACCAAAAAAATAAAAGAAGGATGATGTGAGTATTTGAGGTGAGAAGTAATACCAGAAGGAGTTAGGGGAGCTGGGACTGAACCTGTGAGGATACAAAAGCATTCTGTGAGACAGGTTTTAGAACATTTCCTCAGTCATCTGCTGCATGAGCAAAGGATTTGTATTACAAGTTTCTCTGATTTTATAAACAGTCATGAGTTTTTGATCCTATTAATGATTACATGATGCTTTAGTCCTTCAGTGTGCCTATACATATTTCCATGGTGTTATCTACTGAACACTGTGAAAGGCCAGAAGGAGGGACAAGCAGACACAACTGTATCTTAAGTCTCTTTAGAAAATGTTAAGATATTTTTCATTGGGTAAAAGCGTGAGTCTCTGATTCTTGTGCCTTCTCTTGGGGCTCTTTTATTTTTCCATTGGCTTGTCTGGTCCAGCTTCAATATGATGGGTTTTTGTTTTATCAGGAGCTATTCACCTTACTTTTTGAGACAAGGTGTCTCATTGGGTCCTTTGCATTACCAATTATGCTAGACTAGCTTGTCAACAAATACCAGAATTCCTCCTGTCTCTTCCTGTTTAGTGCTGGGATTACAAACCACCAAACTTAGCTTTATATGTAGGTGCTGGGGTTGAACTCAGATGCTAACAAGTCAGCAACTTTATCAATCAAGCTATCCCTTTATCCTCCCTCAACCATCTCTTTAAATGGCAATCTCCCTTGGAGGATGAGTTTAACAGTCATCAAGGAGTTATTATCCAGTTTCTTGCCTTGCAGTGGGCAAGAGATATTGCTGCAAACATTAGTGAAGGCAGTCAGATGCCTCTAGTGATTCTTGGTAGCACAATAAGGAAATAGTAAGAAACTCACTCTTTTAAAACAGAAAATGGGCAAACGTTGAGTCTCTCTGTAGGACCACAGTTACATGCATATTTGTTAGCACATCCCAACATAGTTGTTATATGCCCTGAATCTTTCATTCCTTTAGAGTTATCTTGTCAGCTGTAGTCAGTGTCTTTGGGGGAAGTCACTTCAAAACAGTGATGTTTCATCAGCAGTGCAGACTTGCTCTCTTGTCAGAGTTTCATCAGCGATGACCTTGACAAGCTCATCAACAAATTTATCCACTGCTTCAAGATCAGCAGGTGCTTTATCACCAGCAATCTTTGAAAACTGAATGCCATGTCCTTTCTTAAACTTCTGCAGCAAGCCTTTTGAATTATTCACAGTTCTCTTCAATGCTAAATTCTTCATGATAGATCCTTGATTGTTTCACGATCAGCAAACTATCAAATGCCATCACTGTGATGCTGAGTGATCTGATCTTTCAAAGTATGATCAAGATCTTCATTTTTAGAATCACGTGCTTGTTTCACTAGTTTTCATTAGCTTCTGTTTATCACTTTATAATAGAAATTATGGGCTTAACCATTCTGTTTCTTATTTAAAACAAACATTTTGTTTCTTCTGGGTTACACAAGGCACTAATTCTTCCACCACAGTTGAATATAAGGCATTTCACCCGTATACCTAGTCCAGTTTCCAACAGCTCTCATTGCAGTACTGAGAACAACATAAACACTTCCTGATTTTTGTAATTAGCATTTTCTCACAATAGGCCTGTATTGACACTTGGAATAATATTCTTACACTGTAAAGCAGTGAATAAGCATACCTGTGCATGTGCATGTGCACACACACACACACACACACACACACACACACACACACACACACACACCACCCCCCTACAAACAAACCAAATCTTTAGTGAGTAGTGGGCATTTGTCTTGGCCTCACATGTAATATCATGAGGAATAAACATCGGTACAGCTGGTCTGTGCACATGTCATTTTGTTACTCATTTTGAGTGTTTTTGCAAGGAAAAATTTTTGGAATGGCACATTGGGCTGAGAGATGGGAGAGTCTTCTTCACTTGAAGGACAGTGGACAAAATGTTCATTATAGACATTAATTTTGATATGAGGCTGCAACATGAGGCTACATATGGACCTACCCACTGGGTATAACACATCAACATTCAAAAGGCTTGGGTTTGGGAACATTCCAGTTTTCAGGTTTGTGGATTAAGGTTGCTCAGCATGTAAGAATCAAGAGAAACAACAAACAGCATATATAGGCTTTTGTGTTCCAATTTATAGACTCTATACACATCTCCAAATAACCAACTTGGTTTTATAATAAATGCGTATTTTTTCATAGGTGTATATTGGATATCTTGCATATCAGATATTTATATTACAATTTATAACAGTAAAAATTACAGTTATGAAATAAAAATGAAAATAATTTTATGGTTGTGGATCACCACAACATGATGAACTGTTTTAAAGGGTCATAGCACTAGGAAGGTTGAAAACCAGTACCTTAGAGTATTTCAAATTTTCATCTTCAGTCTTGCAACATGTGTTTACCTTTCCATGTGCTAAAAGCCTTTACTACATTTGTAATTACTTTAACATTGACCAGTCACCCATGAAATCAATTAAGACCAAGAAAATAAAAGCAAACTATTTAAATCTTTTCCATCATTCTAAATTATTTCATCTTTATGTACATTTTTTTGTTTACATATTATAGTATTTTTTTCCATATGAGGACAAGTTTTAGAAAGCATTTCCTTTTTTTTGTTTTTGTTTTTCAATACAGGGTTTCTCTGTGTAGCTTTGTGCCTTTACTGGAACTTGCTCTGTAGCCCAGGCTGGCCTAGAACTCACAGAGATCCGCCTGCCTCTGCCTCCCAAGTGCTGCGATTAAAGGAGAGATGGATCAGCCATTAAAGGCTAGGCTCACAACCCAAAATAGAAAGCATTTCTTTATGGCAAGCTTATTTATTTATTTTGTGTGTGTGTGTGTGTGTGTGTGTGTGTGTGTGTGTGTGTGTGTGTGTGTAGGGTATGCATGAATGTTTATTACATGAGTGTTTCCATGTGTGAACATGTATTCTATAAATATATACATGCATATATATTTGTATATATGTATACACACATATATACATACATATATATATATATATATATATATATATATATATATATATGGATTAATGTTGAGGCTCATCCTTAATCTTCCTCCTTCATTGAAGAATGTTATTTCAATCAAATTCATGGTTCATCTATATGGCTGTTCTTGTTAACTGACTTGTTGTGTCTGCCTTTTGTTTTCTGAATTCTGCCTTCCAAGCATGGAAGCATCAAAGCAGGGGTGTGTTGCTACACCCAATTTATGAGGCTTCAGATGTTGACTTCAGTACCAAAGCTCCATGGCAGTCACTTAGCCAATGAGCCCTATCCCTGTCTGATGGTAATTTCTAAGGTTTTTTTGTTTACTTACAAAATATTTGTTTATTTGTTATTCATTTCAAGTGGACAATTCTGTAATGTGCGCTGGGAGTCTAATTAGCGAGAAAGAGGAGGGTTTATATGAGCAAGAACTGTTGAAACCAAGGTTGGATAAAGGGACAAATAGCCAAACAGATGGAAACACATGAACTATGAACCAAAGGCTGAGGGGCCTCCAACTGGATCAGGCCCTCTGAATAGGTGAGACAGTTGATTGGCTTGATCTGTTTGGGAGGCATCTAGGCAGTGGTACCAGGTCCTGGGCTCGCTGCATGAGATAGCTGTTTGAAACCTGGGACTTACACAGGGACGCTTGGCTCAATCTGGGAGGAGGGGACTGGACCTGCCTGGACTGAGTCTATCAGGTCAATCTCAGTCCTCGGGGGTGGCCTTGATCTGGAGGTGGTGGGAAAGGGGGGTGGGCTGGGGGAAGGGGAGGGGGGCAGGAAGGGGGAGAACAAGGAAATCTGTGACTGTTATGTAGAACTGAATAGTATTGTAAAATAAAATAAATAAATAAATAAAAAAGAATCCTCCACAGAGATTTTTTAAGGTTCGTTTTACCTTATTTTTTATTTTTGTGTTTATATATGTATGAGTGCACATGTATGTGGATGCTCACAGAGGCCAGAAAGGTGTCCCAGATCCCCATGTAATTCCATGAGCTGGAATTACAATAGGTTCTGGGAACCTAACTTCCATCATTTTCAGAACAGTGAATGCTATTAACTGCTGAGCCATCCCTGGAGGCCCTGGATTTCTCTTTTTAAAAATCCTTTCTTTAACCATCTAAAATAGCTCATCAGGCTTGTCTGGCTACTAAGAAAAAGGATCCTCTGAGCCTAAACATTTTTCTTCATGGAAAACCATGTTGTTTCTTTATTTCATATTTTGATCTACTAAAAATATTTTGTCTTTTATTTTACTCTTTGAACTTTGACAATATTATTCCTTAGTGAAAGAGGTTTTAGATTTGATTCTGCTTAGAGTTTCCTGAGCTTCTGTCATTTTGTATCTGTCATTAATTTTAGACAATTCTGGGACAACATTTTATATATATATATAATATTTTTTCTTTTTTATTATTATTAAGAGAATTTCTATTCATTTTACATACCAACCACAGATTCCCCTCTCCTTCTGTTCCTTCAGCCTTTCCCCCTCAACCCATCCCCCATTGCCACCTCTTCCAAGGCAAGGTCTCCCATGGGGAGTCAGCAGAGCCTGGTACATTCAGTTGAGCCAGGTCCAAGTCCTCCCAGCACCAAAGCTGCTCAAAGTGTCCCACCATAGGCCAACATTATTTAAAAATAAGTTACTCCTTATTTTCCCTGTCTGTCTTATATCTATATCTGTTGAAGTCTTACAGCAACTTGGGAAGTTTTCTGTAGATCTCAACAAACAAAATCTTCTCCTTCATGTTGTTTGCTCTACATTTAAATTGGGATGTACCACTAACCTATTTTCGAACTCATTCTTTTCATTGTTGTGTCCTGAAGGAAGACAATCCCATTAAGGGATCCTGCATTCTGAATTGTGTTACAATAATTCTGGCCTCTGTTATTTCTTTGTATTCTAAGTTTATCTATGCCTTGCATTTCCTATCTGCCATTGCATATCTTCTTTTCCCAATAGATACTTTAATATAGTTATTATAGTCATTTATAACTTTCCTTTGTGTTCATTCACATATCTCTGCCACATGGAAGACTAGTACTAATGTTTCTTTTGTCTCCTAAGACTACACTTTCATTTTCCATTCAATACTCCCTGTACTTTTGTTTAAAAATGGAAACTACACAAGAAGTACTATGAACCAAGTGTTTGACTTTACAACAGGAGTTCATGCTTCTGGCAGGAAGTTTGCGTGTGCCCAGTGCTGCATGAAATGTATATGCTAGAAGCTTAAAGTTCCCTTAGAGTCATTTTTGCCGCCCTCAATGTTATTACATTTTCAGAAGTACTCCACTTAAAAATAAGAATCACACTTTGCATTTCTTTCATCTATAGCAGGGTACTTTTGTCAGGGAGGATGGTGTCAATATGGTGGTGATGTATTGAATATGGAAAGCATCTAGATTAAATTAAAATGACGGACTTCTTTGGGCTTTTCATGTTGTACTTCATCCTCCATAAGTGTTTTCTGGTTTCTTCCCTCACATTTGGTGAAAGAACTTGCTAGTTTTAGGTAACAGTAGGCAAGGAAGCTTCCTCATTCAGTCTTTCCAAGTATTAGGCTGTTCTTATAGTAAATGCTCTGACCAGATATCAAAATGGACAGTTTTCTCCTATCTCTGGCAGAGAGATGAATGATATTTGCCTAGCTTCCTTTTAAGGAAACCCTGAGTTCTTGGTGGTAAAGTCCCCTGCCACATCTTCTTGCTTTTAGGCTAGTACCTCCACAATCAGACAGAAGTATCCAACCCGCTATCTACTGGCGTAAGGCAGCTAAGAGTAGCTATGTGTATGGCTTTTTAAAGCAGAATCACAAGTTTACTTAAAACACTGTTATTTTACATTTTATTTATGGAACATGCTTGAGGTGTTTTTTTTTGTTTGTTTGTTTGTTTTTGTTTGTTTGTTTGTTTGTTTGTTTGGAGAGTGATCTTTTTGCAGGAAAATGTCACATCACAATATTAGATGGTTGGATGGATCCAGGAAAAATTGATGAAAATAACCATGTGGAAGTCCTACACTTTGCATTTGTGATGCCTCACATGAGTTCCTGACTGTGATTCTCTGTGCTTCCTCTCTTTTAGATTCTAAGGTGGACAATTTCCCTCCTGCCTCAATTCACTATTCTTTTAAGAAAACTCACTGATTTTAAGTTACTTTCATTTTCTTTTGATAAAAAAGCATAAATGATAACATCCAAGAGATTTATTTATG